AAAAAGCTAACAAACTTTCGGTTCAAATAAAATATGACAAGGAGTACCACATTATAAAAGAATACATAACCAATGGTTAGTGATTATTTCTTTGTAGCAGCCGAAAACTGCATAGCATCATTTTTGAGAAAATGGGACACGATAACGCTGTAGACGACGATATAGAAAATGACGAGAACGTCTATTTCACTGATAGCATAAATGAAACTGTCATGAAGTCTAGCTTTGATACGAGCAACATGGAATACTCTTAATATGAGACAAAAGCAAAACAAATAAATGCAATGGTCGGACAGTGATTTAAAATATGCTGTATAACTTACGTTACAGAAAATGTAGAAACTTAAAACTGCAATTATCCCTGTTGTGATAGGGGCATTGGGTTTGATAAAGAACGATACGTGAGTAAAATTTCTGAACGCATTAGCATCTCAGAGTCGCAGAAGATTACTTTGTGTGGAACTGCGCATATCCACAGAAACCTCTCCATCTAAACGAAATGTCCCAAATGTGCATAGATACAGTGCGCTTTTTGCCCATAGACCGCGGTGAGGGACTTCGTAATTAGGCACTTAAAATTACTCTGTGACAAGATGGTACCACACAATAACAACAACAACAACAACAACAATAATAATAATAATAATATGTACAAGTACAGCCCACACCTTACGAAGGACGTTATGTAAAATGTGTATGATCTTAGGCTTTTTTTTTCTTTAATAAACTCTGAGTGGAAATGTCATGATACCATTTCTGACCATTGGTCTCTGGTTGGGATCCGGAAAGAAATGAGTATACACCAGCGATCAAAGGAAATAAAGCAATAATAATAATCATAATAATAATAATAATAATAAGAAGAAGAAGAAGAAGAAGAGGAAGAGGAGGAGGAGGAAGAGGGGGGGCAGGTCATGGTATTAGAATGAATGCATTGAAGATCATGTTAGACAGATGACAAAAAGGAAGCAAATGCAGGAAAGCCGGTGAGACAGTTAACCATATATACACTTACTGTTACTGAATGTCCCAAGTTGGCACAGAAGAAGTATAAGCGATGACATAATTGGATTGGTAACAGAATCCATTGAGAAATATGCCGTAAATCTGGCTTGTATGTAAAAGAAAAATGTTATGGCCATTAACCAGAGTCTATTGGATTTCTCAGCCCAGACTGATCATGTCATTGAAGCAGGAAGCCCCGGCACCTATTGATATAGATGAGAAGAATAGCAAGTGTCAAATTATTGACTTTGCTGTTCGGCAAGTCATAAGAGTAGACCACCAAAGAAACTGAAAAGATAGACAAATACAAAAATCTAGCTAAAGAGATGAAAAAGTTTTGCAATATAACTGTGGAACTATAGTAATGTACGCGCTTGGAACATCACCTAAAAACTGAAAGACCGTTTCTGGAGAATTGGAATTAAGATCAGGATTGTAGAGCTTAGAACACTGCGATCATTTACTCTCCGAAAAGTTCTAGAGTTGTGAGCAAAACTTGTTAACAAGTTTATTCAAGACACAATACTACTACTACTACTACTACTGCTACTACTAAGTAGTAGTAGAAGTAGTAGTACTACTACTACTGCTACTACTACTACTACTAATAATAATAGTAATATACAGCAAATATTATGTTCGTTAGCACAAATCTGTTGTCAATTACTTGATTTAACCAGTTGTGGTTGAATCCTAGGGGCTGACATCTTTCTCTTGATGAGCGTAAGTAGTTAGGAAGCATCGTAGAAGGTAATTTTTATTTTGTAGGATAGGCAGCCAAAGCTACTTGGGAGTTGGGTCTAGTTACTTTAAACCCTCCGCCCTAATGGAAGACTGAGCGAACTGGGTTACTCGTCCTGATCTTATTTCTAACTGGATCCCTTGCGGCTTTTATCAAGATATGTCCCTATACGTATATCTTTGCAGTGATGCATATGCCTGTTATATTCTTATCAGACTGGGTGTCATGATGGATATATTGGGCTTTGTATATTCGTACCCCAGTGTCACCGTGTTGGCGTGCTGTACTCTCATTCCATAATAATTATAATATACGTTGAAGACATTAAGTAAATATAAGTCTCCTGGATAGAATTCAGTAGAATGTGGCATCGCAAGACCTGTTGTTTGTGGGGCTTTGGAAATTATATCAAAATGAATAGGCAAATATGTGGATCAAATTCCTAGAAGCCCTAAAATATACGATTGATTTGCTTTTTTACGGCTTATCATCCCTTTATATGTTTCGGATTATAGGAAGTTACTTACAGTACCCAGTGTTCCTAAAACACCGAATGTATCAGCAAAATTGACCAAATCGTGTAAGAGCAAAATTGATCCAATCGTGTATCAGTAAAATTGATCAAATCGTATAACAGCAAAATTGATCAAATCGTGTATCAGCAAAATTGATCAAATCGTGTATCAGCAAAATTGATTAAATCGTATAACAGCAAAATTGATTAAATCGTGTAACAGCAAAATTGATGTGTATCAGCAAAATTTATCAAATCGTGTATCAGCAAAATTGATCAAATCGTGTAACAGCAAAATTGTCCAATAGTTAGATTAATCTTTGAATCGTTGTATCTAAGAAATTATTAAAGATATCTTACTGGAATTCTTCGAGGTTTTTATAAAACTATTGGACTATATTTTGAATAATAAGAATGTATTTAGCCCTAACTTGAAACGATGGTCCGTCTTGCTGTTGTGACCGGCTGATCCATTTTGCCTCTCTACTGTTCCCTCTTTTTTAAACATATTCACCGTTCTCTTGATGGTTCTTGAATGGACTTTCATAATGAAAGCCAGTGTATGAATATCGGTACCATTACTGAAGGCCTGAATCATCTTTTTCCAATCACCAGTTCTCATTTAGGAAGAAATGGGTCTGAAACAAAATGATTTTAACCTGTTCTGTTTCTAGCTGAATAACTCAAAGGGTTTTTCAGTGATTCTTATGACAAATGGTTGCAAGATGGCTAAACGACGTATCTGAAAACCTGGAAAAAAGAAACTCAATTCGTTTAGTGTTTATTTTTTTTTAGATATTAAACATATTGTGGGATGGACAATTATGCTGTTAAACGATCTGGACAATTTTGCTGTTACACCCGGTATATGAAACGTAAAAAAGAACATCCTCATCGGTAATTCTGACAGCTTGCGTAGATTTCAATCTGTGAAATATATATGGTTATATATTTTTCTCAGGAATTTCTTGACATCTCAAATGTTTGCAACTCTGATACAAAAAGATTGATGTGTGGATAGCTTAATGGATAGAAGCTCTGAATGAGAAATCGGAGAGCCAAGTTCGAATTCCAGTTGAGATCGTTGAATTCACTGACACCCAAATACTTATGAATTCATGTCTTCTGTTCACCGTGAGTATGGGTTAAAAAGTAGAATTGGTATCGGGAAAAATATTGCTATCCCCCAAAAATAGTTAATTAAAGATTCACACAATTATTCCTATAATAAAAAAAATGTATTTCAGCATTAAATAGCCTGAAAAGGGTTGATAAACCGTTAAAAATCAATTAATCACTCAATCTGATAAAAAATTGTTGCTATGTCTTGAAGTCTTAAGTTAAAGGTTGGTGGTAACTCGTTCTACACAAAACAAAAACCAAACACAACAACAACGGCAACAACAGTAATAATAATTTTATGGGACTTTACAATACATAGAGACAGAACAATGAAAGCTAATCACCCAGACATCGTGGCCAACAACCACAAAAGCAGAACGTGCTTTCTTATTGACATAGTAGTTCATGCAGATTGTAATATATCTTTGAACATCTTAAAAACTATCAAAATACAAGGGCCTTGAAGTGGAAATTTTAAAAATGTGGCACACGAGGACATTAATAAATCCAGTTGTAGTTGGAGCCCTCGGATTGATTTGATAAACTCATTGAATGGATTCCTGGTAGCCTATGCTTTAAATAAATACAAAAAAATATACTCACAACAGCTCATACATTACGAAGAAGTTTTTCTATGTAAAATGTGTGTGATCTTAAGGATTATTTTATTTTACAAAAATGAACAGCGGAAAATGTCATGAGCTATTTCTGACCGTGGGTCACTTATTTGAGAAAAAGAAGGAAGTGTGTGTACAACAGAAATCAACGGAAGAAATAATAATAATAATAATAATAATAATAATAATAATAATAATAATAATAATAAATCAAATCAAAATCTCAAAAATGTGTCACATGGGAACATCAACAATCCCTGTTGTAGTTGGAGCCCTCGGATTTTTTGGAAAAGATTCCAGTAGACTAAATGAAGGGATTCCTGGAAGTCCATGCCTTAAAGAAATACAAAAAAATTGTTCTTATGAGCACAGCCCACACTTTATGAAGGGCTTTAATTATGTAAAATATTTTTATTTTATTTTTTTTATTTTTTGCAGTGGAAAATGTCATTATGCCATTTCTAACCTTAGGTCTCTGTGCGAGACCCAGAAAGAAATGTGTACACGACAGAAATCAAAGAAAATAAAAGTAATAATAACAACTTAATTTCTGCAAATATTCCCAGTTGTTTATTACTTAATTATACATATGGAACAATTTGTCCCCCACTATTAAGCTGGCATTGGTCTGAAATGTAGATCCTTTTGAAGGACCCATGAACTTTAGTAATATAAAACAAAGTCCCCCAAGACGGCCCGCGAACACGGCATAGAATAATATGTTAGCGGTTCTGACCAAATATTTACTGAAATACTATGCCATTAACTGGAATAGTTTGTTAGCCTGATTTTTCTTGGTTTCTTTTGAAGAGCTGAATACCGTGTAGAGTACTGGGGATTTGATAAGGCTTGCTGGCACTCAATCCCCAGTGAAACCCTCTACATATGTTGTAAATAATGTGAATACATGAAATATGAATAAACAGAATAATAATGACAACATTGTGAGCGGAGCAGTATTGTATTGATTCAATCTAGACTTGTGTCTTTCAGCACCAATATGGGGCGTATTTTTCGTTCAGCTTGTTTGCGCGGGAAGAAGATAAACAAGGAAATTGTAAAGAAAGTCAAGAAGCCATGAAAGAATAGCGTCAAGGACAATAAAACTGCCCGGTTAAATATTCAGGAAGGAATCGGGACGATCGTTCATTTCCGTTTACTGGTGTCACTTTAATTTCCTTTTCTTTCTTTCTTTCTTTTCTTTCTTTCTTTCTTTTTTTCTTTCTTTCTTTCTTTCTTTCCAGCTTTTATTTTTACTTTATTGTCGTCTTTTTATCCAGTTTATTCCATTGTTCTTCTTTCTTTCATTTTAACCTTATTTCTTTCTTTCTTTCTTTCTTTCTTTCTTTATTTATTTATTTATTTATTTATTTATTTTTGCTTTATCTTTATTCGCTTTCATTATTTTTTCATTCATTCATTTATTTATTCTTCATTCAATCTTTCATTCATTCTTCATTATTTCTTTCATTTCTTTCATTCTTTCTTTTTTCTTTATATTTTTCCCAATTAATTCTTTCTTTCGATCCTTTTTCATTATTTTTGTATTCCTTTCTTTTTTTCTATTCTTTCTTTAGTGTTATTATTCATTCTTACTCCAATCATTTAATTTTCTTTCATTTTCATTTTTCATCAATTTTTTCTTTCCTTTATTCATTTCTTTCCTTCTTTTTTCATTAATTTCTCCAACTTTCTTTCTTTCATTCCTTTTCTTTGTCTTCTTTCATTTCTCACAGGTTCATTTCTATTTAATTAAGAATTTGTTGACATTAACATTCTTGAACTTTTTATTCGTAATTTCTTTCTTTCTTTCTTTCTTTCTTTCTTTCTTTATTCTTTCCTTCAATTCGTCATTTGTCTTTTTCTTTCATTTTTCTTTACTTTTATCTTCTCTCTTTATATAGTTCCTTCGTTTTGTTTTTCGTTCTTTACCTTCTCTTCCTCCTTGTTTACGTTCTTTCTTTCTTTCTTTTTTCTTTCTTTCTTTCTTTCTTTTTTCTTTCTTTCTTTCTTTCTTTCTTTTTTCTTTCTTTAAATTAATTTTCTTTCTTTACTTCTTCTTTCTCTTTTTGTTTTCGCTCCTTACTTTTGTCTTCTTTCTTTTACTTTGTTTATATTTATTATTTCAACTTTGATTTATTCTTTGACTATTACTATCAACTTTACTGGCATAATATCTTTCTTTCTTTCTTTCTTTCTTTCTTTCTTTCTTTCTTTTAATTTGAATCATTTCTTTATCTTTCTTTTTGGTCTACCGGAAAATTTCTTTCTTTCTTTCTTTCGCAGTTTTAGGTTAACAAGCTCGTTTCATTGACCAGTTTTCTAGCGTTTTGTTTATATTCCGCATTGATGTGGCCTTGAATCAGACTAAAGCGAGTCGAGCAAATAACAACTGCCTAAATCTGTTTGTTCATAGTCAACCAGCTTATGATTCTAGCTTCTCCATACGTAGATATCTACCTATCTCGACTCGTCCACATTTACCTTTTTGTTATTATTTTTTTTATATTTATTTATTTTTCTTTCTTCATTGTTTTGTTCATTTCGAAAAATTATTTATTTACGCATATATTTTCTTTCTTTCTGTTCATGTAAAACTTGCTCTGTAGTTAGGTTCCTTCCATATGACCTATGACGTCATCTTCCTGCCATCTTTATAATAACGCTTCCTAATGTGCATAAAAACGTTAAAAAACGTGATTCCTACGAGTAACACGAGAAAGTATGAGATTTGCATGTTCATTTAACATTTCTAACATTGTGACGTATTATGAAGGAACGACAAACTGAACATTTCAGTGTGTCGAAGTTCGATTCAGAGAACTACAAACAAACCTTAGTACCAAACAAATAAAACACATTTTGAAAACACCAAAAATGGAACATAATTCAATGCGAGAATTAATATACATGGTGATTGAAAAGTAACTGCCCATTTTAAAATACTTATAATTTACTTACTAACTATATTTTTTACAAGAAATGGATATGAGATGAAACCGTTTAGCATGAGATCTTATTTAAAATTTGATATGGGTACCAGATTTCACTACCAGCTTCTCGAGCCGCCCGATTTCACCAGGAACTCTTGTGGTATGGAAGACTTCTTGTATTCGCTCTTCAAGTTCTTCCAAAGTCTTGGTTTGGTATAGAAGACTTGCACCCTTTAACCAACCCCAAAGAAAAAAGTCACAGGGTATTAAGTCGGGTCTCCTAGCTGGCCACTCATAGATAAAATAGGGAGTTACTTTCCAATCACCAATAACACTTCTCTTAGGCTTTCCTTCATTGCTGACGATGACGCTGTCCTTCCACCTGCTTCCGCAAATTCTGCCAAATAATAACTAAAGCAGGGGTCGGCAACTCATTCGACCCCGCGGGGCCGGATCGTGTTATAATGACGGGTCGCGGGCCGGACGAAGGCCATTAATGAAAAATTAAGGAAAATTACATATGCAGACCCCCTGTCAACCTAAATATTTAAAACCATAATGAAAATAAACATTGAGAAATCAGAAAAACAAAAGAAAATCTAAAATTAAAAAACACCCTAACAAAAATTACTTTTCCTCAAGGAACGTCAAAATACTTCAAAGTGAAAAAAATCAACCGAAGTGAAATGGATGAAATTATGACGTGTAGGTTTGAAACTGTTATTGAAAATTGTTCCACAAACGAACCAGACACACACACACATCAAACAAAAACGGTGCACATATACCCATACATACGAGTACAAATAGTTGCAAACATATACACTTACGTACGTACACATGCGGTATCATCCACACATTCATGAGACATGTATGTATAATGCGCGTATGTTTAACTGTCTTTAGATTTCTGCTACCTCGTATGTCAATCCCTCCCTGGCCTCTTTCACTTTATCGTTCCTTTCGCTTCTGTTACCTTTTAATGTAGCCAAGGGTCATAACAAATATGTATCCATTATTTGACATTAAACGTAGGCAACGCATCTTGGTAAAATAAGTCTCATGAAAGATAACTGGCAGGTAGTCTAATTCGAAAGCCTCGTCTCTCATGTTTAAAAAAGAGTCATTGGTAATCAGGCTCGCGGGCCGGTCAAAATGCCTTCGCAGACCGGATCCGGCCCACGGGCCGTAGGTTGCCGACCCTTGAACTAAAGAAATGAGGTATTAACACATACTAACTAAAGTAAACAAACGTTGTAAAATTAACAGATGACGACGTAGTTATTACATCAAGTCATAAATACAATAGTAATGTTAATATTATCTGTTTCATTATAAGGAAACATTTAGCCTTCATTGACCTAGTAAGCAGTACTACTGTCGCTTGAAATTTATCTTTCTCTTCAAACAATTTTTCAGGAAAATAAATTTCTCAACTCCATTAGCTCTTTCCAGTATTGATAGGGGTTTCCTTCCGAACGTTTTGTTTGACGTGGTGTGGAATATCAGTATCTTGATTCTGTCATTATTTTCTCTTCGAGTTACACGTGATGTCCATTTTAGCAGTTGTTGCTGTTGAATGTCCTCAAGTGAAGTGGTTTCTGTTATCCGGTACAGTTCTTTGTTGGTGATTCTGTAAACAATCCACGAGATTCGAAGAAGGATGGCCTTCGTCAAGACCCACAGATATTCCATAACAAAAAAAAAAATGGAAAACTTAAGATGACCAGAGGGTACTTGGCTGAAACGTCGTATCTTTAATATGGAGTTTTGTTCCCTTCACGCATCGATTACGCCTTGTCATTGCCTCGGATAAATAATGGACCATTTCATTTTGATTGCGAGGAAAAATAGGATAAAAATATGCATCAAAGACGTTGTCAGGTCTTCGAGAGAAAAAAGAAAGTGTGTATAATAATAATAAGAAGAAAAATAAAGAAAGAAAGAAAGAAAGAAAGGAAGGAAGGAAGAAAGAAAGAAAGAAAGAAAGTACGGAGAGGATAGAGGATAAGGTTATCAAGCAATTATCAACTGCTTGAGATCTTAAGTTAAAGCAACCCATAGCATACAAAGCAAAGATCAAACACAACACCACCACCACCACCACCACCACCACCAACAACAACAACAACAACAACAACAACAATAATAATAATAATAACACAAAAAGTGCCTCCTTATTGATATGACAGTCCCTGCTGACTGTAATGTATCTTTGAAGATATTCAAAAAGCTGTCAAAATACAATGACCTTGAAATAGAAATCTCGAAAATGTGGCATATGGGAACATCAACAATCCCTGTTGTAGTTGGAGCCCGAGGACTGGTTGGAAAAGATTGCAGTAGACTAATTGAAGGGATTCCTGGAAGTCCATGCCTCAAGGAGATACAAAAATTGTTCTGACAAGTACAGCCCACACTTTACGAAGGGCTTTATCTATGTAATTTTTTTTTTTGTCAGTGGAAAGTGTCATGATGCCATTTCTAACCTTAGGTCCTCAATAAGACCCGGAAAGAAATATGTAAACGCCAGAAATCAAAGAAAATAATAATAATAATAATAATAATAATAATAATAATAATAAATATTTCTGTAAATATTCCCAGTTGTTTGTTACTTAATAATACATTTGGAACATTTTGTCCCCCACTAGAAAGCTGTAATTGCTCTGAAGAATATAGCCTTTTGAAAGTCCCATGAAATTATTAATATAAAATAAATCTCAAAAAATGACGTGCAAACGTCGTATAGAAAGGGTATGTTGAAATATTATAGAAAGGGTATATTGAAATGGAAAACCTTTGTCAATGATTAATCTTTTCATTTGTACCCTCATACTTCTTTAAATAACTACCTGCGTTCATACTGATGATTGTAATATTTTGTTAAAAGTTGTTAAGCTTCAATATTTAACGAGGCAACAGGTGATTTTCCACGGGTATTTTATAATCTTGGATAACGCAACGGACGTATTCAGTAATTAAATTAAAAATTACAACTCAGAAATTTCAAATAGAAAACTATGAAATTGTTACGTGTATTACTAGTATCTAAAATAAATATGAAGAACAAAATTGTTCGAAGAATCAAATAACTCAAAATACAGAGCCCGCCAAAAAATGTATACACACTTCATGAAAGGAAACACTTATCTTTCGTTGTTTTTAGACATTTACCTATGTGCGAACCTAAAGGATGTTGTGCATCGCAGAAAACTGACTACATTGGCGGCCTTTAGACAAGATATCGAAAATGCATGTGCAGAAATCTCATTGGACATTTTGGCCAACGTTGCCAATGCAGTAGTTCGTCGTACTAATAAATGTCTTGAAGTTAAAGACCACCATTTTCAGCATTTCAGTGACTTGTACTAATTTCTTAATATTTCTTGATATCTGAATAAATTTAGTATTACATTATTTATACAAGGTTTTCCTTTGCTGAGGCGTCTATACCATTTTGGCGGAATCTGTATCTTGACACTCCACATAGCAAAAATCAAACCAAAATTAGAGAAATATTCCGCTTAGTTGGATTTAGTTGCTTTCGTCTAAGGAAGAAATGAAATATGAATCCACTGAAATTTGTTTATATGAAAGCAAAAGTGTTGCGGTGTCTTGTAAGGCACCGAACATCTCCCTTCATACACTATCTTCAGATCAAACAAAAATGGATTATTGTTGAAGCTGCCCAATTCTCACGTACCATCCTTGACAGTTCAAAAGCGTTTACACGGCCTTGTGAGTGATGAATATTTTTCAACCTTACAGCAGCTTTTCCACAAATGAAACGTCGCAAACCTATCGTTACTTTATAGATGTTTCTATGGCAAATATTCAAACCAGTTCCTAGCATCATTCCTAGGACACGCCATATCATGTACATGACACCGAATGATTCTCATTTCCGCTTGTATTCGATTGGGAAGAAAGGAGATCTAATCAGATATTTTCTGCCCGAGGACAACTGCTTTGTGTAAAAAAAAAAATAGTAATAATAATGTTAAGCGGTTTCTCTATCCTGGTCTTAACCAATTCAATTCTATGGTAAACCTTTATCTATCCTACATATACTCATAATCTGTACTTATTTCCTCCTCTTCCGTCTCATTCAACAATCCTCTGCCAGAAGTGGCTATTCGGCCTTGTTTTGAGTTTATATTTAGACGACGACAGATGAGTAAGAAAACGACTTTGTTCTAGTTATACTGTCAACTCAAAGCTGGAGCGCTGTTACACTCATTGCCAGTATTGACAGAATCTAATCAGTTGATCAGAATAAATCGAATTTGTTCTTGATTCTCTTACCTTTTTCTAAGACAATTTCTGGTTCATTTTTTTTAACGTTAAACAATTTTCT